CCCAAACCCCAACCCAAAACCCCAAAACCCCACCTAGTAAAAAATTGAAGAAATTTCTGACAAAATACGTTATGAATATAATATTCTCTCATTAAAATGAAGGAACACGCATTAATCTTCTATTTCATTGAGGTATAGTTTTTAATCAATCACTTTAGACTGATACCTTTCTTTCCTTCAAACAGAGTTGACTTCTCTACTTTATTATAATTTCTAATACCATGCTTGAGTCTATGCTTTCTTGGATCGAAATCTATTTCTTGTTTCAATTGCTCTTTTTCCTTCTTCAACAGTTCCTGCTTCTATTTCTCAGTCAATGCCTTACCATCCAATCTAACAAACTTAGTCTCTAGTTCTTTTATTTTTTGTTTATCTTTCTGCTCCTCATCAATACTAAAGTGAGATGTCTTCTTGACAAGAGGAACTTCTTTGTAATCTAGAGGTTACTTAAATTCTACTTCAACATCTGCCTCTACAACACAAATTTAATCTTCTGGCTTGCAATCTACTATGTCAATCAAGTAATCATGGCCTTGGTAGTTTATATTAATAGTATCTCCTTTCATTAAACATGAATAGTTGGTTAACTCCTGCTCAAGACTATGAGTAAGTTAGAATACATTTATTATTTTTATGTAAAAGTTGGTTAAGGAATACTTACATGGCTTTGGGGTTAGCTAAATCGATAAATGCAGTTTGATGTGGTTAAATGGTCACAAAATTTCCCTTCTTTAGAGTTACATTTCTCAATATAACTTCACTGCCCTCCTCTAAGTATAGATTATTCATCATCTACAGATTATATTAGATCAAACATGCTATTCTTAAAGTAGTTCTATTTTACCCAATAAGGCAAGTAGCATAGTCCTTCCTCTGCAGAGAACTCTAGCACACCACAATATGACTTCTTTCCCATTTGAGGATTGCTTATCATAAAGATCATTGGATAAGAGATACTCAGTCTAGCTAATTCATGCAATGCCGATGATGGTAAGATAACTATTTGAATTGATTAGCAATTTGACTTTAAAGATACTTTTATTTCCTTTGTTAATGTCATTTTTGCCGAAAAATGCTGGGGAATAAGCCTTGTACGAACTAAGGAAGACCTAAGCACCTCCACTTCTTTGTGGAGGAGCTTATCTGCCTCCGCCTCCACCAAATATTTATGAAAACTACATTAAGTGACATGTTTTGATTTGCCTCAAGAATTTAAAATCTTACCATTAATTTCTCAAATATTCTAATTAAATTATATTATAAAATAAAGCTTTAAAATCCTTAAATTCAATGTCCGTAAATAGTAGAAACACTAACTACTTACTCAATCAATAAATACAGTTACTCAAGTAAGTGTCATCAAATCGAAACCGATCGGTGGCCAAAAGTAACTTGATAGTTTAGGACTCATCTCGCCAATCTAAATTTTACAATTCACATAACTACCCTGTAATCTAGCATCCAAGTGTGATTCAGTCCTCAAATCTCAACAATCCTTAGATGCAACTTTAATTGCAGCAGAATATTATCAACACTAATCAAAGTCAAAATTAAATAACTTCTTATGCGCAAGTTCTTTAATCAAACTAGGGGCAAGCTTTAGGTAGGTAAAACAGTCTAGGTAAGAAGCGACCAGAGGTCCAAAGAAAAAATGATAAAATATTTTTACCCTAGAACATTAATGAGAATTCCTATCGAAATGATAATCAGCTGAATTAATCAGCCAATCACTCTCACGTGCCTAGTAACTCAGGTCTTTATCAACAAATAAGAAGTAAAAATAACAATTCAGTACTTGTTCAAAGCTAATAGAATGGTTTAATACAGTATAGCATTAACAATAATAACAATGCACACTAATCTCAGATATAGATTAAGGATTATAGAGCTTCAGTGGATAATGTTTTAAGTCAAAATAATAATAATAACATCATTTAGCAGTCTAATCCTGGAAATGGACTTAATATATCTTAGGATTCAAATAGGAAATCAGCTCTGATAAGGTATCAATAGCAGTTTAGTTCTTAGAAACGATCATCAATCAAAGCTGAGTCCTCTGGGAAGAACAGTATTAAAAATAACGGAGGATCAAAAGGGGATTCATTTTTTAGTTCAAGGGTAAATGCTAGTATGGGAGCAAGCAAGGATAATCTTAAATAAGTTATTAAGATTTACAAAGAGGGGCTAAGAGCTGATGGAGAGGTAAGCAACACAAATGGATATCAGTCGAATAGAATATCATAAAATGCCAAGGACTCAAATTCTAAGGGTTCATTGATTTCTAATGTAAGAAATATGAGTGTTCCTCGAGCTGCAAATTAGCCTTCCAAGTTCATGATCTCAAGTTAAGATTACTCTGGAATTGCTGGTAACATCAATAATAACAATGCTTATTATTCAACAGACAAGACTAATGTGAAAGACAAAGGCCAGTTGAATAGAAACGAGGCTTTAAACAGTTCTATTGGTAATATGAAGCTTACAGATGCCTATGGATTGAATGAGACTGAGGACTACTCTAGATCTAAGTTTACCGAAACTACACCAATGACTCAAAATGGGGTGATGAACTCAAACACTAAGCATCATTCAATTCTCTAGGGAACTCTTAGGCATTGTAACTGTCCTTGCAACTGCCAAAGTAATTAGTAGGATACTTAGTCTTAAACTACTAATAATCACAACATGATGAGCATCCTAAGTGGAAATAATAAAAAGAATAACTATAATATCAATAATACAATGACATTAAGGATTGGTCATGCCTTAAATACTACAACAGGGCATTAAACAACAACAGTAATGATAGATGAGCCGAATGTTGAAGCAACAAATATCGAGGACATGCATATATTGCTAGTTAATGTTGAAAAAATAAAACGCAAAATGCTTGGTAAGACCGAGGGATAGCTAGATCCAGTCATAGATTACAGAGCTTAGCTTAAGTATTAGTAAGATATTGAAGAATAAAATTAGTAAAAAGGGAACAATAGAGATGATTTTAGCATAGAACTGCATAATACATCTGGTCTTAATGTAATAATTTACGAATGAGTAGTTAATAAACTTAGATAAAACATATTCCATCATTATACTAATGCTTGGATGAAATTCTCAATTACACAATATAATTTGATCTTTTTTTGCTACCAATTTTAATAAATTTATTAACAACTTTAAAATGATAACTTGTGGGGTTTTGGGGTTTTGGGGTTTTGGGG